ACAACTAGGCAGGTTGACCAAATAATGAGCTTCAGGCATACACACGTGTTCACACCCACAGAATTGGGTTAGAGATCAGTGCCTCATGCCTGGCTTCTTATGTGGTTTCTAAGGATATGAACTCAAGACCCCATGCTTGTTTGCAGGCATTTCACAGTATGAACCATCTCCTCAGTCCCTCTACTAAGTAGATTTTATACTGACAAATATCAAGATTTTAAAACCAATTCTACCACCATGTAATATTTGATTTTTTTTCTAACAGAAAGGTGTGAAACTCATTTATACTCCCTAATTTTTAAAGACACTTCATAGAATGCGGGTGTCATAATAAAAAAAATTGCATTTTATTGTCTTTCCAGAAGAGGACCACATGTCCCTTTCATCCTTATGCATTCTGTGTTAGCCACTCAGCTCGCTGAGCTACTTTCATAAGTCCGTTGGGATACTACAACGTAAAGTTGACTCCAGAGCTGCAAAGCCACAAGCACCAAGACATAAGTTAACCTGTGCTTATTTACCACAAAGGAAAATATATGGAAAGCAACTTTGTCTTCAAGGTAAGGAGACAGAGGAACTGAATGAAGAAGAATTCCAGGGCACACACACTCACAAACAGAAAGGGGGAGTGGCCAAGGGATAAAGAAGTATAATGGATATGAAGGTGCATCGTTAATGTACTTTGCATGTTGCGTTGATTTTTTTAAATGACATCAATATGAGGGAGCTGTGTTATTAAGCGCCTCAGTAGGCTAAAGCCAAAGGATAATGAGTTCCAGTCCAATCTGGATAGCATAGCAACATGCAGCTCTAGAAAACCTTACATGAATAAAACTGTAAATGTGGGATGTTAAGTAAAAGAGAAACATAAGCAGGAAATCCTGAGAGTCCCATTCATCTCTCCTTCATTCTCCTTTCCCTCTCTAGAGGTGACAACAGTCAAACCATCAGTGTGTGATGGCGATTGGAAACACAGTCCTCATCATGACCTTTCTCGACCGTGCTTGCCTGTCTTGGTGTGAGACAAACCGCTGTTCTTGACTTCTGCCATTGTAATCCATTTAGCCCTCTTTTAAATTTAATAACGAAATCCTTGTGTTTTGTTTATATGTGACAATCTTCTTTCTCCTCAGCTGTGAATTTGTGAAAGATTTCCTGGCACATGAATTCCAGTCCTTGTCTATGTTGCTATAATGGATCAAGGACACCCCACCATTCTTTCACCCATCCTTATGTTGGGTAACGCTTAGGTGGCTTCCCATTTGTTTACTTTGTAGTCATGTGCATTCTTGTCTGCACATACTTTTCCACCATATTCTGGCCAGTAGCATCACTTGCACTTAAGGTACACGTATGTTCAGCTGGAACTAATTCCACACAGTTTAAAAATAAACGGTTGCACTAATTTCCATTTCCAGGACTGTCTCTGAAAAACCTTATAAACAAAATGATCAGCATTGTAAATTTTAGCCATTCCATTGTATAAGTAACAGGGTATCATGGTTTGGCACAATGGTGGTCTCCTTCTAAACACTGCTTGGGGGACATTGTGCTCTAGAACATATGAAATGGGGGCAAAATCCTGGAATATGTTCAGAGTCTCCAGGCACTAAAACAAAATATTGTATGGCTTTGAAGCACTTAAAAACCAGAGTCAACCAAAATGAAAGCTCTTACACATTGTTGGAGACCTTGAGGATGCAGAATCCTAAGGAGGAGGAGATGAACCCCAGGGAGGTAGCCGGCAGCTGTAGGTCTACTCTGCTCAGAACCTCTCGGATTTGTCTAGGATACATTTACCAAGTGTGATGGTTAATCTTGGTTGTATATTTTTCTGCATCGGGAGTCAACTCAAAGTGTGAGAGGTTAGCTGAAGATTTATACTATGGGTACCAAGAATGTTCAAAGTTTTATGGAGTTGGTCTATGATTTGACTTTACAGGTGTCAATGCTGGGACTGTCAAGAATATACCTTTGTAATCAAAATGGCAGATGGGTCTTTACAGAAATTTCAGAAATTGTTGGAAATTCTGTCATAATTCCAGATACTATCCACCTAATCATTTTTATGAATCTCAAATCAGCAATGCATGAAGCATCTTTAAATATTAAACATTTGAACACAACACAATCCACAGGTTACCAAATTGGTACCTGCTGAAGAATGACAGTAGGAAAATATTGAAGTTTTTGTTTTTAGTAATTAGGTTATTTATGCTTCTATAAGAGCAGAACACTTTATATATACAGTAAAATCACTGCAGTTCATAGTACAAATTAGCCTCATGCTGTAGCTGAGGTGACACAGGCAGTATTCTTTACCTCTGTGACATGATGGTATGGGCAGTATGCATGCTGTGTACTCAGAACCAAGACCACAGTGAAGTTTTAGGGTGCAAGGTCAGGAAGCATTGAAAGAAACTCCTGGAGTCTGTTATATACTGGGTTTGAATTTGTGTTTTGTCATGATGTACTCATAAACCTGCTATGACTGACAGGTTTTTAACAAGCCCAGTTGTCAGTTGCAGTATCCACAGGTGGATCTGAGCCACCTAGTACAATGCCTTGTTATAGTGTACTGGGTAACCGATCACTTAGATATAAGACAGAACCACTTGAGAGGAAAACATATGGATCCAGGTCACTGTGGCAGAGAATGAGAGACACAAGTAGGATTATCTGAACACAGAAAGGGAAGACATTAGAGCATTCTCAAGTGCCTCGCTGGGCTAATACCCACAGAGTGCTTGACCTCAGGTGTGTTGAAAACAGTGGGGAATAGGTAGATGCTTGGGGTAGAGAGCAGCTTATGTCAGCACAGGTGAGTGCTAGAAAGAGCTCACTCATGTCTTGTCTTCTTTCCCAAGGTCAGGAAAACAAGTCACAAGGATGTGTGACTTGGTCGGCAGAGATGAAAACACACTGGGTAAACAATGGCAGTAAGCATGGGCAGCTGCCTTGATAAGCAGCGCCCAAGTGATTGGGCCCATGGGTCAGTGTGGAGAGGTGACATCTTCGAGTTCGGGGAAGATTCTAGATGTCAGCATACAGGTCTGACAGTCTACTTACACAAGAAAGGACTAGCTCAGGACCGTAGTCTGCTTTCTCCACCTGCAAATTTCCTGGAGCGTACCCCTTTATGAGATGGAGAGGTACCTCAGGAAATGGTACACTGGTTTAACATAAATTGTACAGAAAAGCCTTGGCTGACTGTTTATCTGGATCTGAACTCCCCCTTAAAACATCTCAGAATACTATCTGCCTCAGAGAAGAGTCCTGGTCTTATTACAGAACACTGACAACAGGACATAAGGAAATCGTTCCCAGAGACGAATGTTGATTGGCTTGAGTACATCCCTTTTCTACCATCAAGCAAAATGGGGACTATAATATGAAAATAAAGTAAATATTTCTTGAACTAAAGTAAATATTTCTTGAACACACGGCTAAAAATATAGTGTCCTATATATTTTCCTGTGTTTTTTATGAGCAAACATCTTCCTGATAGACAATCATGGTCTAGCCTTGTCTTTTAGGCTGATATATTGTTCACATAGTTACATGTAAATGTACATTTGTTGCATCAGTATGTATTCTCATAGAAACGAGATTTTTTTGAGTTATATGGATGACACCCTGAATAGCTGAAATCTGTCTTGAAGAAGATAATCCAAGGCTGTCTGAAGAATCTAGTTAGTAAACTATCTGGCCTACAAGCATAAGAACCTCTTTGAAATCCCCAGCTCCTGGCCTCAGCCCTCTCCTAGGCAGCCTAGGAGAGCTGGCTCCAAGCGAGCCTTGATTGCCTGGTCTCAGGAAAGCTGGTGTCTGACCACCTCAGCTACCACCCAGGCCCAGATCCAGTGCTTTAAGTTGGCCCACTCCAACATCTACCCTATCTGTAAACTGCTGGAGCATGTGACTGGGTGGTCCTGCAGATCCAAGCTGCTGGATCTCCATGACACAGGGCAACAACAGGATATCTGAGTGGAGTCCCAGTGAGGAACCAGTATTGCTAGTGTAGCAGAAGCCAGAGGCCTTGAACCACACCAACGACTCATAGCAATGAACATTTGCAAGCAAAGATATGAGGACAAAAGATTTACTGCTGTTGGACACTGTGACATACCTCAGCTATCACAGCGAGATGGGGGGGTGTGACAGGGGTGGAGGGAAGGATATTGCAAAGGCAGAGGGCTGATACAAAACGACGGAGAAATGAGTGGGATTGGGGAGAATTATGTGAAATTCACAAAGAATCAATACAAAAGATTTTTAAAGAAAATCCTCACCGCTCAAGACAAGACCTGGCACAGTGCTGCTTCTACACAACCCCAGCAGTGGGTACAAAGATAGGGAGATTGCTGGTTCAGTCTAATTCCAGGTTCAATGAAATAATTTTTCTCTAAATGTGAAAAATCAAATGAAAGGTAGCTGTTAAGAGCCCCTTCAACTCACAAAATTTTCACTTTGACTACATAATTCTGTGTTTCGATGTCTCAAACATTTGCTTCCCTACTGTCTCAAAAGCCCAGCTGGAGGTAAATCATGGAAGACCCCTAATATCAACCCAAACATACCCTGCCCCTTCATGAACACATACACACCCCCTAAATGAGCACATATATATGTCACACACACATAAAAAAAAAATAAAGGAGATATTCAAATCAGAGGTTGTCTTCAAAACCAAAAAAAGCAAAGAAATAAGACTATGTAAAGATTACATCTGCATATATGTTATACTATTCTCTAAGAAGCCAGATTTTCCAGCATGGGGAAAAAGAAAACTCATCTCATAAGAGCAGACTTAGAGAAGATTGTATGAAAACCAAAAAATAAATGAAGAGGCATGAAAGGCTATCTGTGCACACTCGTGTGGTAGCTAGGTTACCCCCGCCTCCATCATCTCTCTTCTGTCACCGTGGGGCCCTTACATGATTCATAATGTTTCCATACAGGTTTACCTCCTGCCTTCCTAAGAGATGGGGAATAATAGGAGTGTTTTGTCGTTTGCACAATGGCGTGTGTCTGCCAGTAGATGGCAGTAATACGTTGAGTGCTGCCAGCTTTTTCTTTCTTTTTTTTTTTCTTTCCTTTTTTTTTTTTTTCCTTCCAGGGCCGTTTTCTGATATATGTTGGGTACCATAGAGTGAATCTCAGAACAGGAAGCGGAGGCATAAGCAGAGAGGATTCTGGAAAGGTCTCTTTGTTTTCATGCCCACAGAGAAAGCAAGAAAAAAAAAATTGAATGTAATTTGCAAATCCCTGTGGTCAAATCTGAAGAACTACAGGGGGTGGCACGTTCCATTCTAACCATCTTGGATGCTGTCCTTTGTTGAGCTGTGATTCCTAAGGCTCTCCATCAGGTAAGCTGACAAAACATTGAATTATTTGCTCCGTGGAATCTAGCTGCCAGGTCATCTTCTCATTTTAAAACCTTCTCCGTGCTGCCATTTTTAAAAACCTAATGTTTAAATGTAAATTATAAGAACTAAAGGCATCATTTGATCTGTAAACTGCTTACTATTCCTTTATCTTTCAAAGAAAACAGCTTCTGTCTGGAAATGGTGACTTACAATACAGACTAGGAATTAAGGAGTGTGTGTCTGTGAAACAAGCAGATGTTTGGGGTTCATTGTATGGAGAGAGCATCTGTTTTGTTAGACTTAATGTCAACCTACTAGATTTCACGACGACACCGCCTATTAGGCATCTTTAAATCACAAATGCTCAGTGAAATTGGAACTATCTTTTCTGTGCTTTGGGGTTTTATTTTATCTTATTTTTTTTATTTTATTTTATCTTTTTAGCAGCTCTGGTCAGGCCATATAGCCAGAGGCAGTGATATCAATATAAAGGTGTTTGGTTATTTAGACATTCTCATTTTTCTTTGAAATTTATCAGCATAGGGGGAAAGATATCACCCAAAGTAACAGTAAAACATATTTGGTCTGTTAAAAATGAAACGATCCAAAGATTCCTATATGTTCCATAACCTCCTGTTTTGTTACCTTTTAATATCACATAAGCTTGATAACTCGCTAGGTTTCTTTCCTTCCTGGAACATTTCATTGTTTTTTTATTATTATTATTAATAGTAGTAGTACTATTACTACCAATCACCAGGAAAACTCACTTGAGACCAAATGACAGTCATATACATTGTGTAGAGTCTGTGTCTGTCACTAAAATATTTTACACCAAACTCAACATTTCATTCAGCAGTCACACTGCTACCACATTAGCAGAAGACCTACAGGCAGTAGTGGAAAGACAAGTTTTTAAGATTACAAAGCTGTGTGTGTGTGTGTGTGTGTGTGTGTGTGTGTGTGTGTACACAATAGGTCGTGCAATGTCTCTTGTGAGGACAAAGATGAAGCCATTAGTGTTTGTGAGAATCTGCATGGAAATATTACATCTAATCAATTCTGAGCAGTGTGTCCTGCGAGAAATAGAGACCTGTGATTCCAACCCAGGATTTGGTCAGAACTAAACAAAGGGCCTAAAGAAAAACAAACCTCGGGGTACCTGAAGTATATTTTCTCATCATGTGGTGAACAAACCAAGCAATCTCACTCAGTAAATTACATCGGGTGGCCATATACTCCCCCTTAATTCATTTCAAAATACTGTCTGCCTCAGCAGAAAGCCCTTGTCTCAGGTATTTCCGAAGAACTCCGACTATAGGATGTAAAGAAAAGTGTATCCTTGGAAAGGGTTTTCAGAACTAAATGCTTATTGGCTCAGATGTATTGTGCAGTACACACCATGCCGGCAGGTGACTGGAAGTGAGTAACTTTGTGCTTTGTAAATACCAGAGCCGGTTCATTGGACTGGTTTGCATTTATGAATGGATGTTTCTATTTGGACCCTGAATGTTACCTTTTTTTTGTTTTGTTCTTAAAGTTGTCATGTCTCCTCAGCTGTTGATCTGGCTTAGATGCTGACTTCTCTTGGTTAGTTACTTGGTTAGTTGGCTTCCCTTTCTTAGTTACTCTTCCACACATATGGTCATAATGCCAAAAGCCATTGTGCACACACATCTCCACCTTGCAAAACATGCCCTCTGATCTCTTCAGAAATGAACTGTTCTGATTACATGCCATCTAAAGCAAATGAGAGTGTCTCACTCTTTACAAAAAATGAGATTTCATTTGTAAGAGCCTGACACACATTATTCTTTTCTTCATGTAGACTTCAGCTCTAAGCTGGAAATGGGGACATGGCTCAGGTTCTGCCACTTGAGAGCTTTGTAGGCTCCAAAAGGACAGCAACTACCACAGAAGTGCCTTCTCCTTGTCTGTGATAGTTGAGATGTTGAATCAAAACCAGATTCTAATCCCTTCCACTTTTTCCGGTTGACTTCTGAGCTCAACTCTATGCGGGGACATCCCTGGCTCTCCTGACTCCAATATGACAATGAATGGTTCACTAGGCATGAGGATAGAGAAGGGGAGACATTTTGGAGGTCTTTGGCCATTCCTTCTTTGGTAGGAATACCAAGCAGTGAATGGAAAACTAGTGGAGAGCCTGGCAAACAGAAGCAGCTCCACTGTTTCCTAACAAATGAAGTTCTGTAGCCTCTAGCACACTGTCTATAGAACAGTGATACGCCTACTTGGAAAACTGTGGAAATGACATATTTTCTGTTCAGGGCTTTGTGACTCTCGCCTTCCTCTCTCATCTGCCACCCCAGGGCCCACAGAAAGGAACAGGTATTATTACTGTTATTAGTGCCAGTGATGAAGTACCTTCTGTCACGACAGGAAAGGGTGGAGGGGGTTGAAAACAACAGGGGACTGGAACTGTGGGTAAGTGTCATCTTGGAAGAAGGCTTTGGCTGAACATCCACAAGACCACGGTGTTACCCACGACAATGTCAGTTAGTGGCGACATTGCAGGCCCTTTCTGGAGAGGTTGTGGAACTTCTAGATGGTTCTTCCTGTCCAGTGATGTTATTATGGACTGCACTGTGCTTGTTTGTCTGTCTCAGTTTTCTTTTTAGCGAAATCAAAGCAAAGAGCTTCATCATTACTTCACCTTACCTTAAGAGGACTTGCCTTTCAGACAAAAGGCCTCTAGGAGGACTCACTGAGGCAAATCTATGTTTTGTGAGAAATCACATTTCTTTTAAAAAGTAACTTCTACAATACTATGATCATAGCACCTAAATGTAAGAAATGTCTTAGCTTTCATGGAGTCCCAAACTCTCTAGGTTTAAATCCCGTCAAGGTCACAGTTAAATGTGGGAAGATAAAACCTGCCTGATGAAATTGTTGGTGTGCTACGAAGGCCCAGCTTCTCCCTAAAGACTCTCTAAGTGCGGCTTGGTGCTTCTGACAGCTGTGTGCTCCTGGGATCTCTGCGAGCTAGAGCTGGGGTGACCTTTCAGCACCCCAGGCCTCCTAATCCTTTCCTTCAACCACCCTGGGCCTCTTTAAACTGACTCCAGTAACTGTGCTGTCAGCTCCATCTTCATGGCAGCCAGGATGACTTAATGGGCTCAGGATAGCATAGGAGCGGATGGCTGAGAGCAGGAGAGGCTTAGCAACTGGAGGGTAACGTTTCTCAGCAGGACAGGCACTGAGCTTGGAATCTGTTGCTAGTCATTTCTCTTGGCTCCAGCTTCCTCCAGGCTCCTGTGAGTCGTTAATTGCAGGGTGGAGTTTATCAGAAACCATCTGTAAGGGCAAGTAAGTAATGATGTATTTTTTTTTTCCAACAAAGAATGAGCATGGAATGAGATAGTGACATTTCTTGCCTGGAGTGGCTGTGCACATCCCTATTTCTTGTCGTCTTTCTTGCACAGAAACTTTGCGAACTCACTTTGTGACAATGTCTCGCTTGTCATCGAAAATATGTTGTTCATTTCTGTACTTACGTAATTGATCATTTTATTCGTTTTATAGAACAAGGAGGATCAGTTGCTCACCTGCTCTTGAAATATAAAAATTAAAATCAGAAACAATTAATTTAGAAACTTTTAGGTTCTGTGGTAGTAACTTTAATTCAGTTGTTTTTTTGCCTTCATTTGAATATTGCCCCCTGAACAATCTTCACATCCAACTGGTATGCAACACAGCATCTGAATTCCTATATATTTGGTGTCCAGAAATCTTGGGGAAGCAAGGGAGTCAGACCTGCTGTTGTTGCATCTTTTACCTCTATTTGATCTGGAGGTAACTTTCATCACTCACCTTTACCTGACATATGTCTTGCTTTGGGGGTGAAGTTTGCACTTTCTTTGGTTGCCCTTTAATGTGATGTAACAAATGGTAGCCACCAAATTCAGGGCAAAATAATACTGGTTTTCACTTTGTTAACTGTGAGACGATACTAAAGGTTCTCCTACTTGCAATGCAAAGAAACGCTTTGTTCTGTGAAGTGCAACATCCACTGTGGCTCTCTAAGTCCCTGATGTTTGCATTTTTTATCTGAATATATAATTAGCCTCAGAAGAATTTTCCACATTTAACTTAGGAACTTAATTTAATTTTACCTACACAACTGGACACGTAAGTTTCAATGTGCCAACTATTGATACATTGTTTTCTTAGGTCCCCATGTCTGTTATTTGAAATTCTGGGTTTGAAGTGGAAGAAGTTTATAGAAGGAAAATTTTTCCTAAAATATATGGATAAAAAACAGTTACAAAGAAAATATCAAAATGAGTACAGATGAACACAGATGTCATCTATATGGGCACTCTCAATGATTGCCAAAGTTAAAAAAATTCCTTTATATGTCTGTTATTTCTGTAATAATTGAATTAGAATTTCATCCTTTTTGAGATTACATACAGGAAGCCCTCCATGTGATCAAGTGCCATTCGGGAGCAATGTAAGAGAAATGATGGACCCTAAATTATTAAAGAGTGATTTAATATTGTTTTAGTCAGTGGGTGACTTCAAAGATGAAAAGTTACTCTTTAAATAACTTTGGCCATTTTCTGCCAAGAAGTTCTCTTTGGGGAATTTTAATCTTCCAGTAGTCAGAATATACTTTATTCTTAAGTTGTGCAGAACATTTTGTACTTGTGCTTTCCTAAGAGTTGAAGTAATTAATTATATCACAATTCTTATTACGTATGGCATTGTGACTGATGTGCTCTTGCATAAGGTTCAACAGTACACAGGTTGCAGGCTTAAGCCTCAGTTTGAGAACAGGTCACTTGTTGGTTAGTTTTTCTTCCTTCTACATGTCTGTGTGTGACATTACTTTTATGAAGTTTCTTCTCTATAATTTAAGCTGTTCCAAAGTATACTAGGAATCTTTTTTTTATCCGAACTGTGGTGAGAATGACCTTAAAAAGTAAAGCCAAGGGAAAGGAACCCAAATTTCTGTACAGACAATGAGAGTCTGAGGA